AGGTATTTCATGGGCTGCGGGTCGGGGGTTAGGGGGGTTGTTGTGCTGTGGTTTCAGCAAGCACGGGCTTCGGCAACAGCGTATCTGGCTTTCTGCACGTATCAGTTCTCTCTCTCTCTCTCTCTCTCTCTCTCTCTCTCTCTCTCTCTGCCGCGCCCACGAACCACCGCGCGCCTACTCTCTCTCTCTCTCTCTCTCTCTCTCTCTCTCTCTCTCTCTCTGTGTGTGTGTGTGTGTGTGTGTGTGTCTGTACCGCGCATCTACGCTTCCACAAAATGTAAGGAGAAGAAGAAGAAGAAGAAGAAAACGTACCTGTGGCGCGCTGGCGGGCGGGCGACGATGATGACGGGCAGGCGGGCTTCGCTGCACGACAATGACGACGACGGTGATGGTGACGACGGCGACGGGCGACGACAGCTGGTGAGTCGGGGGGAGGCGGGAAGTAGTAGGCGGGAGGGAACGGCAGCTCCTCCAATTTTTGAAAAGGGAGGCCTCATCTGGGCCGCCGTTCTTTCGAGAGCAGCGGTCCAGAGAGGCACCCCTTCTCGAAACTTGGAGGCTACCCTACCGGACCGGTTTCAAATTTTTTTAAGGCCAGGAGGCCCCCGGGTTGTGGGGGCCTCCTGGCCCGAAAAAAAAATTGAATCGGCCAATATCCGCCTATGCGCTATAGTCGACCGGAGGGCAACCAGCCCCGTGGACGGGTCGGTCCCACCGGCCTGGTTCCAGTTGGGGTTGGACCCCCGATCGGGTTTACAGCCCTGTTATATACTAGATTATTGTACTATTTGGGGCAAGTTTCAGACTAGATACAGCAATAATGACAGCACATTTTAAGTGGGGGAAGAATGTACCAGGATAGCAAAGGATAACAGGTGGGGCAAGTTTCAGTCTAGATACAGCAATAATGACAGCACATTTTAAGTGGGGGAAGAATGTACCAGGATAGCAAAGGATAACCGCTCAATGTAAGGTCTCTAGAGCTCCTCAGGAATCTACGACCAATTTGAATCCTCAGAAAGCCTCCCTGTATTATCTATGCCTATGTGTCTACCCGTCTCTTCTATCTGTTTGTGTGTGTGTCTGTGTCTGTTTGCCTGTCTGTCTGGCTCTCTGTCCGTTGGAAGGACACCACTGTGCTTTATACAGGACTGGAGGACCGGGTGTAACTTTGCTTTTAAAGAAAATAAGAAGGGTTGGGCAAATATGTACAGACTTCGCTTGCAAAGAAAAGAAGGGTTGGGCAAACATGTACTTCAACTTTCTTTTGACCTTCCTCTGATTCAGTGAATCAATGTGCATTCAGGTATCTCTTCACATGCTCTCTCTCTCTCTCTCTCTCTCTCTCTCTCTCTCTCTCTCTCTCTCTCTCTCTCTCTCTCTCTCTCTCTCCGTGTGTGCCCCCCCCCCCCCCCCCCCCCCCCCCCCCCCCCGCCCCCATTAAGAGCACGTTTCACAGCACCATTGGACGAAGGGAGGGCAGCAAGGGCAGCGCTGATTGTGCAGCGTCAATGAGGGGAATCGAAATTAAGAGGGAAGGGAGAGAGATTGTTACGTGCCCAGTTGGGCGATGTACGTATATAACCGAGGATCCACAATGTGATGAAAAGGACTGAATGGACAATGCAGTGCTAGTGAAATCTCAACAAGCAGTGTACATCCTGATACATACAAAAATGGTGCTTTGAAGCGCAGTGGAAGACTTAGATATAAGCCCTGACCTGACCGGGACTGACCTCTCTGACGTAGTGCAAGACAGCGCAGCAGAATGCTAGAATACCAATGACTAGCCCAATCAATGTCGCAGTACAGACCAAACATACATCATTCTCATCACAAGGTGTGAAGGGGCCTGGCGCTACACACAGGAAGAACGCGCCAGGTCCAGACCATACACAGACGAAGAGGAGGGGATCAGACGAAGAAGAAGGGGGAAAGATGGGAATGTCGTCAACACCAAGTCTTCGTTACAAGTCCCAGATAACCCCTCGTCAAATGTCTGAAGTCCAATGTCAAGTCTGGATCCAAATGTCACCAAGCCCGCTCTCTCATAGTCTGCTGACGCAGTGAAATCAGATAGCGAGAGGGTGAGAGGGAGATGGTGGACTGAGAAGAGGAAGAAGAAGAACTCTCTCTCTCTCATGTGCCAGGTACTAACCTGTGTAGGTGGTGCTGTGCTGCAGGTACCTTAAAGGCGAAGCTGGAGCTATGGGGCTGCAGGTAAGTCTCCCTGGCCTCCGCCCAATCTCTCTCTCTCTCCAGTACTACTCTAGCTTCTATTAGCGCCCAGCACTGAAGACTACTGCTAACGCTACTAGCGCCCAGCGCTGAAGACTACTGCTAGCGCTACTACTACTCCTGCAGCGCTCCTCCAGAGTGCTGCTGCCGAATCCTGAAGACTACCTCCTGCCTCCTGAACTGCACGTGAAGTGCCTGAGAAGTACCTAGGAACTACCTGCAGCCTGCAGGGCGGGCCAGTCCTATTTAGTGCCGGCCCGTCCAGGAGGCTGCTCTTGCCAATGCCAAAACATGCCAGACCCTGGCGTTGAAGCTCAACCAAGGGTTGACTTGAAAACAGGCCCAAAATGGCCTGTGCTAAAACCCTGGTCTGGTGCCTGAGTTTCAGGGCAGGTCGATCTGACGAGGGCCTGAAAATGGCCCTCCGTTTCAGGCTGAAAAGACTCAGGGCCGGAAAGGCCCTGTTTTAGGCTGCAACGACACAGGGCCTGTAGGCCCTTGTTTTCAGGCTTTCAGGCTGAAACGACACAGGGCCTGTAGGCCCTTGTTTTCAGGCTTTCGGGCTGAAAACGACACGGGCCTGAAAATGGCCCGTGCAGCCTGTTGCAGGCGAAGCATGTAACAGAGATGGAAAGAGGAGTAGAGAAAAGGGGGCAGAAAGAGCACACAGCTCTGCGCGACAACAGAGCATGAGCGCGCGCGCGCGCGCGCGAGAGAGAGAGAGAGAGAGAGAGAGAGAGAGAGAGAGAGAGAGAGAGAGAGAGAGAGAGAGAGAGAGCTTTCAAAGCACAAACAGCAAAGTCCGGTACGCAACACTTGCGACAAACTGATACCAAGAAGCTTGCAAGCGACTGCTAGGATACAACAGGTAGCGTGGGTGCAAAGGTGCAACAGACATCTAGGCCACTCAGCTCAACAGCAACACAGCAATAGGATAGGGTGTTTCAAATAGAGGGGCGGGGCGTTTGGAAATTTGTGTCCATGCCCATCCCCAAGTTCAGGACGACTTTTGGGAGTACCTTCCCTTTTCTTTCTCTTCACTCTTTCATTCCGACCTCGCCCAGTCACATTGTCCGTTTTCGACAACCAGTAACATCGGACAGCTTCACAAATTCCTTTTGCCGAATTGTGATTTTTGCATATTTTTTGGTCAAGCATCAACACCTCTCATCGGCGGCGTTTCTTCAGAAGTTCTGATCGGCCACCAATCCAAACTGCGACTTGCTTCGGGCCACTGATTGCCTGGATGGAAAGTTCGTGATATCCGCATTTTGTACAGTGATAGGAAAAACGGAACACCTTGGAAACCCAAGTGAACGAATTTGTTACATACCGTCTTGCCTCTTCTCTCATCGATTCTTTCCGCTGCTTCTCCTCATCAGTCTCTAGTCTGACAAGATCATACAGCTGGCACACCTCTGCCAAAAGATCCCCATCTTCGGCAACCATCTCCGGACCTTGCTCACCCTGCCACGACCTGCGGAAAAATAACAAATTTTGAAGTCAGTGCCTTAAACACAAGAGACCCCTCTATGCGAAAACCACCATCATATACATTGTTGGGAGGGGGAGGGGGCGGGTTAGTTGACAGCTCATCGCAGATAATGTACAACAGAATACTCTGAATTTTGACGGGACCCTCCAAAGTGACAATTGAAATGATGTAACACCAAATGAACAGTTCACATGAAGGCATTATGGCAAGGGAAATGACGGTGGAACTGGCACAATGGTGACATCAGCTGTCATGCACACAACGTGAAAGCAAGACTGACATCTGGCACAGTTCCAGATAGACGACAGGGACAATCAGAGCTCAGACGGAGTGTGCAGCATCCACTTCACCAATAGAGAAGGTGAGAAGGGGGCAGGGTGGGTGATGGCCCCTTTCAAGGAAATCAGCCACAGAATAGCATTAACCATTCCATTGAAATGCTCAAAGCATCCTGGTGGCTACCAGAGCAACACATCCGTCTGAAAGCACCAGTACATGCCAGCTATCGGCCGCAGGCCCCTTTTGGAGGCCTCCCGCCGCCGCTTCATTTTATCTACGAAGCTCGGCCTCGTAGATTTTCGGAGAGGCTCAAAACAGGTTCTCCAGTTGCCTGGGGCCATGTACTGGTGGTTTAAGAACTTCTCTGCAGGCCATATCTGCGCGTGGCCAGAGAAGTTCAAGTCCAGCCCTAACTTTGAACTAGCATTCCCCGTGCAGGCAATGCCAGCACAATCCAGCCCATTTGGATGAATGGTACACAGTGCTACACACATGTAATGTTGCCGAACAGATCACAAGTTCCAATACCAACACAAACACTTGGGTACAATACCGTTACAGGCTACTCTGTTTTTTTTTTTTTCTGGAATAGAAAATAGAAAAATCATTCAAAAATGTAAGATCCAGGTATTATTTGTCACAGGTTGGATGGCTGCAGAGAGTGGCAAAGTGTCAAAGACCAGAAACAGAGCAAAGAAAATTATTGGGAGTCATTCCAAATACAAAAGGTTAAAAAAAAACAGATGACAACTTAAAGAACAATGAAAGAATGCAAGGAAAAGACTCAAAAGAGGCATCAGTAGATTTGCAGTAAACTGTGACCAAACAGACGAAACAAATACGACCGGCATGGATTCACTTTTTGTACACCGTGTCATGGCTGTAGTGGTTAAGAGACTCGGCTCTTGAGGCTGAGGGCGCCGGTTCAAATCCGTGCTTGGCACGGAGGAGGTCCTATGGCTGATAATGTACAGACTGTACTTCAACCGGGTAACCAGCCCGGAAATTATACCTGGATGTGGTGGCCCGTGGATAAAACCGTTGGATAAGCAGTTGTGCAGGATGAGAGTGGAGTGTGCGACTACTGCCTGTGTGGCGGATGCCTTGTGTGGTGTTGTGTGTGCGTGTGTGTGAGTTGAAGGACACTACAGCCATGCAGGGGTGGGGTGAATATCACGACCGGCATGGATTCACTTTTTGTACACCGTGTCATGGCTGTAGTGCTTAAGAGACTCGGTTCTTGAGGCTGAGGGCGCCGGTTCGAATCCGTGCTTGGCACGGAGGAGGTCCTATGGCTGATAATGTACAGACTACAGACTGTGTCTGCCCGATGGACCCATAAGTACAGTCATAACAGAGCAAAGCTCATTAAAATAATTGAAAACTCAGATTTAAATTGCCAAAGCTTAGTGCAGTCAAGACTTTGTTTAGGAAAGAACAGGGTAGGTTCACAAGATGAAAGTGCAAAACCGATAATGTTGCAACCATTTCGAGCAACATTCTTCGCGCCAAGAACATAACACGAGAAAGAAAAGGCAAATGTGGGAAAACACTTTTGAAAATGAGGAAACTTTTTTTTTCTTTTTTTCTTTTTTGGGACCATTTTTGGCAATATGTGTGCCATCCTAGTGCAACGGTCATGCTAATGTTCTCTATATCTTTCCAATTTTAGCGGGTGTCCAGGACGACTGAGAAAACATAGTCTTTTATTGTTTTTTTTCAAACCTTCGCGCAGAGAAAACAGAGATTAAACACTAGCTGTCGGCAAAACAAGAAAACTATTCTCCACTCCAGCACTCCTTGTACAAAAGGAGAGAACAGTAAGACAGACAGGGCTGAACCAAATGAAGAAACATCAAAGGAAGACTCTTCAGTGTGCACAGACAAGCCACAAGCGTAGCATCAAGCATCCTTGAGAAAGTGTCTGCTTGTCTGCCTCTTGATGGATTTTCTCTTCTTTTTTTTAGAAAGAATTTGAACCATTTCTCAATTTACGTGTGTCATCCTTGAATGCGCAGGGGCCATGCTAATCACGCTTCTCTGTATCATTCCAATTTCAACGGATGCCCCGAAGGACAGCCTCTTGTTGATTGTGAATTTGACATACATACCGTTTTCTGATACCACGGCTTCGCCGCACTTGCTCATACTGTACCAATTGTCGAGCGACCTGTAAGCATGCAGTCAACAGCCCAGCTGCACCAGTCAGAGGGAGAATTGGGAGAAGAATTGACCGCTAGCTGCAATTTCAGACTTTCTAAGTCCCATGATGAGAGACCATACTCCAGAATTTCTAAGACATCAAACATAAACTGTCCAAAATTTTCGACTAACTACCTGAGTGGGGATCCGGGCCGCCCGGGTGACCGGCAGGGGCCCAGGGGAGGTCCCGGGCGGCCTGGCCGGGCAGGGCACCCGGTTGGGGGTGGGCCCCCCTCAGCGCACTCACCTGTCGGGGGGTTTCGGACCCCCTTTCGGAACCCCTGTGTGTGTGTGTGTGTGTGTGTGAGAGAGAGAGAGAGAGAGAGAGAGAGAGAGAGAGAGAGAGAGATGTTTTTGAATCATACTTGCAGCGTATCTCATGTGCGGGGTGCCGCAAGCACATGCACGCACACACAAGCGATGCGGCGCATTAAAAAAATAGAAAAATAAAAATGTCCTAGTTGTGTCCAGCGGCTCCAGCCTCTTTTCGGAAGGATCCCTACAGCATGTTAGCTAGGACCCGACGTCACGCAGAGATACACTTCAAACTTGTACTCCCTGAGGGCTATGTGACACCCGCGGCCTAGGCCGCGGGCATTTCGGCCGCTGCGGCTGAGATTCTCGGCCGCGGCCGCGGCCGATGAGGCCCAGTCCGCGGCCTGGTTTTTCAATATTTTTTCCCCCCCCTAAAAATACGTAAAAAAAAAAAAAAAAAAAAATGGGGGTGTAGGGCTTGAAAAACCCTACACTCCTATTTTTTTTTTTTTTTGGAATCCGCCTTTGTTTAAGATTTAAAAAAAAATAGAAAACTTAAAATCGATTTAAACAAAATTAAAAAAAAAAAAATACAGGAAAGCAGGATTTTTTTTTTGCCATTYTTTATCATGAGATATATGGTCCCTGAGTACACCTGTATTTTTTTTAGAATTGGATTTTTGTTTTTTGCAGGGAAATGAGGTGTTTAAAAAAAAAAAAGATTCAAAATTTCAAAACAAATAACAAAAGAAGGGTTTGATTGATTGATTGATTGATTGATTGATTTCATTTGATTGATTGATTGATTGATTGATTTTGTGTGTGTGTGTGTGTGTGAGAGAGAGAGAGAGAGAGAGAGAGAGAGAGAGAGAGAGAGAGACAGAGAGAG